AGTGTACTCAGTGAGGGCGACTTCTCGGGTGGGGAGGCGTTTTTCGTGGACCAGCGATTCATACGCCCACGATCAACGGAAACGGAGGCCACCATCCCTGGGTGTGTATTAAGTGTCCTTCCACCGGTTGCCAGGAGTTGAAGTGGTGGGAGAAGAACGACGGGAGTACTGGAGCAAATGGGTTAGCGACGTTCGGGCTGCTTCTCGCTCAGCTACGTTGCCCGGAAATCACCATTCCCACCAGGTAGCAGTGTCAACTTATAAATCGACGGCTTCTGGCTGAATAAGGCGAGTGAACCTGCGAACTACACTGTGCTGATGGAGTGTCCCCAAAATTTTAGGAGTTACTGTTGCAGTGGAGCTGAGAGTTTTCACCTGGTGCAGCAGAAAGAGGTTCCGACTTTTGCGGGCGTATTTTGACGATTTTCCGACGGAGGAGGGAGCTGTCCAGCGGTCAGTAGGCGAGCTCGTTAAAGCTCCTCTGACTAGAAGCGTGCGCACTCCTATCTCTGCGGATTCTCCTAGTTAGTTAAGCAGCAGCGAAGCGGTTTTGGGTAACCTGCAGCAGTCGTGAAATGGGTGAACGTCTGCACGGCCAGCTGGACAGCGGTACTGGAGTATTTTAGAGTTGGGAAACAGCTGGGCGGAGATCGACGGCATATGATGCGCATTGACCCTGATCGACGGCCAAAACATCATGCCGAGGCGGTGGACTCTGGTAAACCCTAAGATAAAGGGTTTAGTTCATGCGTACAGCTGGTGGAGAAACCATGGGGACGCTGCAACATCGACCGATATTCTTGGAATATTTTGGGTGCATAGAGGAGGAGAAGCGCAACAGCAGTTTTGGCTCTTCCCGAATTTTTCGGCATGTACGGAAAAAGAAGCTGATGTAGCTGGCGTCATTTGACACCGGGTTCTGTTCGAGAATATTCATCGGAGTGGTTCGGTACAGGTTACAGGTCATCACCAACGTCGTCTTCCTCTCGCCACCACCCGCTACCACCTCCATCGCCAATTCGCCTGATTCGCCCGACCATATGAACACGACCCCGACTCGCCATTTGAAAAAAAAAAAAAAAAAAAAATGCAGATTTACAAACAATTGGCTGCAGTACTATGGAGCTGTGTTGGGGCCAGCTCGCACGCTGTGTTTGACTTCTGAAGATTTTTTGAGTTCATGTGGAAGTCTTCTACAGCCGTCGTTGCGGAATTTCAAGACCATTGGAGCGGTTTACCCTGAGGCGGCATTTCACGTTTGGAGCATCTTTGGGAACTTTAGTGGCTGGATTTTTGCAGCGGCATCTTGGAAGCTGAGTTATGGGATTTTCAGCAGCAGTGTGGGATTTTTTCGACTACCCTGGAGCCTTGGGTTTCCTGGAGTTCTACCTAGAAAAGCGCGAGCTGTTTCTTTTGGGGGGGGGAGAAGGGCAGCTGTGCTGCAATTCTTTGTCTGACCCTGCGGCGTGTACCATCATCCATTTTTGACCGACATTCGTCATCGTTACGCTTCCGCACCTGATTTCGTCACTTCGTTGATAGAGTTCGCTGACTTTCATGGGACACGGACGCGTGCTCTCGCATGTGACACGACGACCTCGCATTTGATGAACGGGTTCTATATGTCATCGACCATCACTGTGAGAGTAGGACCCCGTTACACCCCTTGTCCCTTTTCCTACTTCCTTCCTATTTCATTTCTCTTTTTATCTCATCTCATTTGGTTTCCTATTCTCTATTTTCCATTATCCTTTGGTTTATCCTGTGGTTTACTAATATCACCGACCAGGCTTGGGATGTACTGGCGCGCTATATCTAGCGTAATCCTGCCGTAATCCCTTAAAGCCAATAGCCTCGTGTGGCTATACGCAGCGTGATTCTATTTTCTAGAAGAGTCTATTCCCTTGGGATAGGATAAACCTGGTTACCTGATGTACTCTGGAAGTATAAAAGCGCCTTGTACTGATCGATAGTGCAATCTTTCCTCGACACATTCGATCCTGTAACACTTGGTAATCAGAGCTTTTCTCACTCAGCCGCGCTCAACAAAGCAGCAGCAGCGGGAAAACCTGCCTCGAAAAACCGCCGGGGGCGACCAATTCGACGCCGATTCTGGTAAGCACCAGCACCGCGTTATTTCGAATTACCCCCTCAGCGCGTGTTTTGAACAGGATGGCGATATTCGACAACGCCGAGGTTACGCAGCAACTCTTCGCGCGCATCACAGCCCTTCAGGAGGAGATGTGAGCAGATCGCAAAGCATGGCGAAACGAGTTCGAGCGAGTAACTCGACTCGCCGGAGCGCAACACGACTCGACAACGGCGACGATGCAGTAGTCGCAGCAGTTTCTCGAGGCTCCGAAACCGCGCCCACCTGAGCCGTTCGATCCGAGCGATCGAAACTCCGACGCACGCAGATGGATCGCCGGGATGGAGATCTACTTCGCAGCCGTCGGATGGAGTTCGCTAGGCTGGGACGGTCAACGCGTACGACTCGCGGCGACGCTGATGCGAGGGCCGACACTCGAGTGGATTGGCGGCAACAGCACCTTCATCCACGGTGAAGCCACGTGGCAGCAGTTCCGCACCGACCTGCTCAAACGTTTCGAGCCGATAAATTCGGGTTTCCTTGCCCGGGAAAAAAATCATCGACATTGACAGTTCGGGAGTGTAGTGCAGTACACGGAGCAAATGGAAGAATTTTATAACCGAATTCCCGACCTGACCGAAGGGGAAAAAGTACAGTCCTACCTCGCCGGGCTGAAGACCAAAGTCAAACGACAAGTGGCAGCGACAAACTACGCGAGCTACAGTGACGTCGTATCGGCCGCGGAGCGCTTCGACATGGTCAACGCGGGGACACGACGGACGCACGTCGGCAGTACGCGACAGGGCGACCGCTCGGCTCACACCACGTTCGCCGACCCGATGGAAGTCGACAAGTTCGAGGGGCGGCCACGTCCGAAAAACACCAACTACGTATGTGATTTTTGCGGGGTGCCGGGTCATCAAATCTTCGACTGCAACAAAATGAAAGCCGCACAAGCAGAGGATCGGGCACGTAACAGTGGCGGAAATCCTTCGGCCAATCAGAAGACAAAAAACGGAGCTCGCCGGTGATTGCGGATCTAGTTGGTGAAAAAGAAAGATCCGAAAACGGCCACGGGATTCTGAGAAAATCAACTTCGACGAAGCTGATTCGACGCGAGCCGGAAAAAATGATGGGGAAAAATCTCCACCCTACGACCAGTCTTCGCCAGGGAAAATCGCCGAGGAAAAATCTGACTCCGCGAAACAAGACTCTGCCGAGACGGGGAAACTCCTTGAAGACCCAAGGAATTATAAGAATTCGTTAAAGTTATATTATAAAGATGCTTTAATGAAAACTTATGATTCTCGAGGGGCTAGAGCCTTGGAGAAATTTCGGGAGGGACTCCAAAAGAAACAGAAAGCTGTGGAGATTATACCGGTACCGGAAAACTTGGGGAAAAAGTTAAGGAGTGTGGAAAGAAGTTGACCTATCCATGGAGTCAACGTCCTCTCCCGACACCAGCCCACAACGACTACCCATTCCCCAGGGAAGATGTCGGTGGAGCTGAAGCAGCTCAAGAGGAAGCTGGGGGTCTACAAGAAGCTGCACAAACCACGAACTCCTCCTCCGGATGCATCATGTTCAGCAACTTCGGCATCAACGACGCGCACAGTCGTTCAAGAAACTCCGAGCCCTGGAGAAGAGCCATTCTCGAAGCAGCCTCGGCCAGCTGCCAGCTCAGGAGTAGATAGCAACACAACGGTGTGTACGAAATATTGGGATGTACCAGATGATCCCATTAATGAAACTATCTTTGGGTACTCCGAGCAACGCCTGCCCCTCGTGCTCGAGGTCATCTGCAAAGGACGACGCCTCCAAGCACTCGTGGACAGCGGAGCATCACACACCGTCAGCGACAAGGCGGTAATCGACCGACTTCGGGAAGAGTACAAGCCTTCAGGATTCTCTGCAACGATGGTGGACGGAAGCAAGTTACCAGTACACGGCGAAGCAGTGCTACACCTACAAATCGGACCACTGCACTGGAGACCTACACTCCCCATCACCAACATCAAAGAGCTTGACTTGATCTTCGGGTGAGACTTCCTGAAAATATTCAATCCCGAGATCAACTGGGTAAATCGCACCGCAAGCATCTACAACAATGGAAGGAGAGTCTAGCTACCCAACAAGGACGATACAGGAGATATCCCAGTGGAGACACTCGCACGATTTGAGAAGGACGTGAAGCGCACCGACACCGGGTTCCTGGCAATAGCAACACAGGTGGAGAACGACGAAGAGAAGACCTCGGAACCTCCAGGACAAATCAAGCAATTGCTGGAGTTCCAAGACATTCTCCCTGACGATCTTCCGAACGAGCTACCGCCATACCGAACGCATCAACACGAGATCGTGGAGGAACCAGGTTCGAAGCCAACCTTCCGAGCACCATACCGGCTCAGCCCTACAGAGCTGACCGATATGAAAAAACAGATCGAGTATCTCCTCGCCAAAGGGCTCATCCGACCATCCACTTCGCCATACGGTGCCCCAGTACTCTTCACACCGAAACCGGACAGAAGCCTGCGCATGTATATCGATTACCGAGCTCTCAACAAGCAGACCATCAAGAATAAATATCCGATACCACGAATCGATGACCTGCTTGACCAGCTTCGGGGAGCTACGGTATTTTCCAAACTGGATATGCAGTCCGGATACTGGCAGATACGAATGGCGCACAAATCCATCCACAAAACTGCTTTCCGAAATCGGTACGGATCGTACGAGTATTTGGTCATAACGTTCGGACTCACCAACGCACCGGCAATGTTCCTAGCCGAGGTGAACCACATTCTACGCCCACTATTTGATGAGTGCATGGTGGTGTACCTGGACGACATCCTCATCTACTCGTGCGACATGAAGCAACACGTCGAACACCAGCGACGCGTCTTCGAGATTCTTCGGCGGGAGCGGTTCTACATCAAAATGTCCAAGAGCGAATTCGCCTTTGAGAAGGTCCAGTTCCTAGGACACCTGGTGAGCGCTCAAGGAGTTCTCGTCGACCCCAAGAAAATCGAAGCCGTACGTACGTGGAAGACACCCAAGAACGTGAAGGAGTTGCAGCAGTTCCTAGGCTTCGCTAATTATTACAACAGGTTCGTGCCACAGTACGCGAAACTCGCAGCACCACTCATGAATCTGCTGAAGAAGAACACGCCCTACAAATGGGAGCCGAAGCACCAGGAAGCCGTGGAGCAGCTGAAACAAGCAGTCACGTCCGCACCTGTACTCATCTTGCCAGATCCCGAATGCGACTACGTCATCGAAGCTGACGCCAGCGACCATGCACTGGGAGCAGTCTTGATGCAAGATCAGGGGAATGGACTGCAACCAATCGCCTACCTGGGTAAGAAACTACACGGGGCAGAACTAAACTACCCGATACACGACAAAGAGGCCCTTGCCATCGTCATCGCCTTCAAAGCGTGGAGATGTTATCTCGAAGGACGAAGAACAACCGTCTACACCGACCACTGCAGCCTGAAATACTTGAAGACACAACCCAACATTTCCAGGCGACAGGTCTGGTGGATCGACTTCCTCGAGACCCACTTCCACTACGACATCGTGTACAAGCCTGGCCATAAAAACAAAGCAGACGCTCTTAGCCGGCCTGCACATGTTGCCGCTATCCAGGTTGAGGGGATGAATCCACTACTCAAGGGACTCTTCACACACGGGTACGCCATCGACCCCGAAATTCCCTTGGCAGAAAAGCGACATCTGCTACAGTGGGACAGTGACATCGCGTACCGGAAAGGATCAACGAAAATTTGGGTACCCAATTACCCTCCTTTGCGCCACTTACTACTCGAAGAATACCACGACGTTCTCTACGCCGGACACTTCGGTAGCAAAAAGACGCTGACCGGTATTGCGAAACACTACTAATGGCCCCACTTGGCAGAGGATGTTCAGAAATTTGTCTCCTCGTGTGATACATGTCAGCGGATGAAGAGCAGCAAGCAGAAAAGGCAGGACTACTGCAGCCTCTTCCTGTCCCAGAACAACCATGGCAAGTGGTTAGCCTGGACTTTTTCACCAAGTTACCACCTACCACCAGCGGACATGACGCAATCGTTGTCGTCATCGACAAATTCTCCAAAATGGGACACTTCATCCCGACACACACGACAGCACGCACCGAAGAAATAGCACAACTCTTCGTTCGATACATCATCTCACAGCATGGCATTCCAATCACACTTATCTCCGACTGAGACCCCAAGTTCACCAGCAAGTTCTGGAAGGAACTCATGTCTCTCCTCGGAACCAAACTCGCCATCTCATCCGCTTACCATCCGCAGACAGACGGGCAGACCTGTTGGTTAGAGAAGGCTATAAGCAGATGATTCAATGGCTCCTTGAAAATTTCTGCAGCACTTCGTTATGACGCCCAGAAAACTCGCGACCTTTGAAAAGCTATATCCAAAACTCCAATCGGTGAAACGATCTGAAATCGGATATGTTGTAGCTTGCAGCGTCAGCTTTCCACTGAAATTTGAATCACTCGATTCCGTAGCTTAACGAGCGAGCTATGGCGTTTGGCGCACTGGGGGGTAATCTGCCCTAAGAGAAGTTGACAATCCTCAGAGTCACTATGATTGAAGCTTACAAGTTCAGAGGCACGATAGAAAAGGCATTGAAGCACAGTTGGAAGGTAGGGATGGAAGGGAAGGATGAAAGGGAAGGACCCTGGAGGCCCATGGTCAAGAACATGACAAGAGTCAAAGTCTTGACTCCCCATCCTCAGGTTCAGCCAGCCTGGCGAGACAAAATTCACACTGTACCAGGTTGGCCTCCAAACCCCAAATGCTGCAGCTGCAGGGTGGGGACAAAAGTCCCACACATGCTGGTCCCTCCTCGTTATAGGGCTCTCCAACTTTGGTGTAGCAGCTGACAAGGACTTCCAATGAGTTGTAACAAATCCATCAAACATTTCTTCGTAACTTCTTCATATGTGCTCCGATTCCAACAATTCTTGGCTCGTTGGAATGTGCTCGATGTCATGCACAATCCAAGCACATCTGCACAAGCACAAGATGAACATGCGAAGACATGCAAACCCAACAAACCATACAAACAATGTAGCACACAAAACACATGCAACGAAATGATGCGAACACACGACAGGATGACGTGCAAACGAATATGCACCAACACACTCCCCCTCAGACTGTCGGCTTGTTTCGCCGTCTCTAGTTCAAGGACATTCCCGCCATCCTCGCATAGCGCCAGTGTGGCTCTTCAGCTAGCCGCTTGGTAAGGAAGTCGGCTGGCTGTTGCTGAGTTTTCACGTAGATCGGATCCAGTGTCCCAAGCTTCACCTCCTTCCGCAGCCAATGCCACTTGATCCTCATGTGCTTGTTCAACCCATGAAGAACTGCATTGCGTGCCATGGCAATGGCTCCCTTGTTGTCACTGAACAGAGGAGTCGCACAAGTCTGTTCATGGCCGATCTCCTTCAAGAGCCTCGTTAGCCAAATGATTTCTTTTTCCGCATGAAACATTGCCATGTACTCAAATTCCACTGAAGATAGTGCCGTTTCAGACTGCTTCTTGGACCTCCAACTTACAGGCCCACCTCCCACCATGCAGATGTATCCACCTACTGATGATGAATCCTCATGCTCAGAAGCCCACGTGGCATCAGCAAAACAGGAAAGGAACACCTTTCCTTCTCCGAGCTGCTCCCCCTTCTCTTGAAGGACTTCAACTCCCTTTTGACTGAGTTGAGCAGAGGCTGAATACTGTACTCCCACTGTAGGGTATGACTTGAGGTAGCGCACCACTCTCTCCGCTGCACCACACTGCTCTTCTGTTGGATTTTGCACTACTCGAGCCAGATGTCCCACAGCAAAGCTGATGTCAGGCCGAGTATGCACAGCAGTGTAGAGTAGGCTCCCGACCATGGATTGGAATTGCCTCTGGTCTTCACTCTCAACTCCTTCTCCTTCAGCTGCCTTTATGAGTTTGAACTCGGAAGGCAAAGGTGTAACCACTTCCCGTTCTTCCTGCAGAGAGTACTTCTCAGCCAAGGTGTTGATGTACTGTCCCTGATGCAGTTTGAGCCAGCCACGTTCAGTATCCCGCTCAATGTGCATTCCCAGGTAGTACCTTGCCTCTCCAAGTGACTTGCACTTGAACTGCTCTGTGAGCTTCCGCTGCACCCCATCGACCTCCTTGTCACTACTGCTGAAGAGCAGGATGTCATCCACGTACACCAGCAGAAGCACAAGCGACTCCCCCTCGCCCATCAGGAATAGGCTTTCGTCGCATGCACTCGCACGGAATCCAATCCCTTCCAGTGCACTGGCCAGCCTGTTGTACCAGCATCTCGGGGCCCGCTTCAAGCCATACATGGCCTTGTTAAGTTTGCAGACACGACCGGTTCCATCCTCATAGCCAGGTGGTTGAACCATGTACACCTCCTCTTCCACAATGCCGTACAGAAAAGCGGTTACGATGTCCATCTGCTTCACCTTCCATTTGCGCACAGCAGCTACCGCCAACAGCACACGTAGCGTTGGAGACTTAGCAGTTGGGGCAAACACTTCTTTGTAATCTTCCTTCGCTTTCTGCTGAAACCCGTTTGCCACCAGCCTGCTCTTGTAAACTGATGGCTCTCCTTTCTCATTCGTCTTGATTTTTGCCAGCCACTTGCACTGTATTGCCTTCTTCCCATTTGGCAAGTACACCAGGTCCCATGTGTGATTCTCCATCTGGCTGTTGTACTCTGCATCTCTTGAAACGAGCCACTTCCCCCGTTGAGGCCCGGCTAGCGCATGATCCATGCTCGGAGGTTGTATTGGTGCGTAAAAGCAGTATGCAGGCTCCTCGTCATCTGACTCTTGGTCATCACCCAAGAACAGCACTGCATCTTCGCCTTGAGCCTGTTCCTGCTGCTCAGTTGTGGCTCTTTCACTTGTAGAGCTCAGCAGCTTTCTTGTTGCCATTCTGGTACGTGCAGGGTAGATGGTTGGATTTACCCATTCTTTCACCTTCACCCAATCCTTTGTCCCCCCACCAATCTGTTTCCTTCGCTTTGGCAGACTTGGTGTTTTGGAAGCCTCTTGCTGCTGCTCCTCCGGATCCTTGACTTCAGCATCAGCTGCAATATCCTCATTGCTTCCTTCATCAGTACCGCTTGCCGTTGGCGCAGTGACTTCGCTGTCCACAGGTTCGGACAAATCGAAGTGCATAGTGATCTCTTCCAGCTGCTGGGTGACCCTTGCCTCCGGCTGCTTCTCCCACTTGCCATACATGATGTTCTCCACAAATTTGACATCCCGACTGTCAAACAGCACATTCTTTGAGGGCTCCCAGAGTAGCCACCCCTTGCTCTCTGCCGCAAGCCCAAGGTGCACACACCACAGTGCAGATGCTCCAAGCTTTGTCCTGTACGGTTTAGGGACATGCGCCACTCCCATGCATCCGAACACTCTGAGCATGTCCACTGGAGGCTTCTTTCCAAGCCACCTCTCCAGCGGCACCCACATATCATCAGCCACCTTTGTGAGTACGCGGTTCCTTGCCACTGTAGCATGCCTCACCGCATGAGGCCACATGGAGTTCCCCAGCCCTGATTCGATCAGCAGCGCTCGCGCAATTTCCAGGATGGTCCTATTAGCCCTCTCAGCAACGCCATTTGACTGAGGGTTATAGGACGTCGTTAGCTGATGCTCAATGCCTTGTTTCTTGAGCCACGCAGTCATATCTCCTCCTAGAAACTCTCCACCTCGGTCGGTTCTGATGCTCTTGCATGGGTGCCCAGATTGTCGCTCGACGAATGGCAGCCAGTCATCTCGTATTGTTGAGGCAGCATGATCCTTCTGCTTCAACGGGTATGCCCACATCAGCCAGCTCCAGTCATCAACTATTGTTAGGAAGTACCTTTCCCCCTTTCTTCCTTGAACTGGAAAAGGTCCTACCAGGTCCATGTGCACCAGTTCCAGTGCTGCCTTGCTTTTCCCAGCTACACCGTGACACGTCTCGCACTTGGTATCATTTGGTTGCCCAGAAAGCTTCAGCCCCTTTACTGCTTCTTCCTTATGCAGTTGCTGCAGCAATGGCATAGCCACATGCCCTAGATGCCTGTGTGCGGTTTCCCAATCAGTCTCCCCCGACCTTGCAGAAACCATCACTCCTGCAGCACTAACTGCATTGCACTCCCCCTGGAATCCAGATCCCGCCTTTACTACTCCCAGCTCCTTCTTTGTTGATTCCCATATCAGCGCAGGGATCTGCTACATGGATCTGAAGACATCCCTGCTTTCGTGTAAATCCCATAACACACGATCTCCTCGCAGCCCCTTGAATGTTTTGGATCCATTGGTGGTGGTGCTGACTCCGGCCTGGCCTAGCTTGCGCAGCGATATCAGATTGGCCTTCAGCCCCGGTACGAGTAACACATCCTTCAGCACAACCAGTCCACCATCAGGTGCTCTGAATGCAGCTCGACCAACTCCAGCGACCTTCACTGCATGTCCGGATGCTGAGCGCACTTCAGAGATTGGAGGCGCTCGCACAGCATCCAGCAAGTCCTTGCGTGGTGTCATTGTCCATGCAGCACCAGAGTCCATGACCCACATGTCAAGCGGGTGCAGTTCCTCTCCAGCCCTTGCAACAGCTGTGCCAATGTCATCTTTGTCACACACATGGTAGAACTGTCCAGCATTCCTCTCCTCATTTCCCATTCCTCTGTCATCCTTGGAGGTTTCTTCAGCAGGATCAGCTACCATGTTGGCACCTCCACGTGGTTGCTTTTCTCCATTCCCCTTTAGCGATTGGTTCCAAGGGGTCCACCAGTCGGGCTTGGTAGAGCAGCGAAACCATGGATGCCCTTCTTCCTTGCAATACCAGCACTCTCCCCTCAAGCGTGGTTCACTGTTGTCATTGTTGGAGTGACCACCTCTTCCTCTTGCACCAGCGCCACCACGCCCCCGCTGGTTCAAAGTCCCGCGACCACCTCGGTTGTAGTGGGAGCGACCGCGATTGCCACGCCCTCGATCCCTCCATGTCCCTTGCATGGCATAGCCGCTGGTGCTGTCATCACCTCCGCGCAGTGTGTAGCGACGAAAATCTTCTTCCAGAATCTTGGTGCGAATCCACTCCAATGTCCATTGACTTTGGTTTTGTGGCAAGCTGAGTCCGCTTATAAATTGCAGCCAAGACTCGGGCAGCAGGCTGAGCATCTTGAGACACTTAGTCTGCTCAGGGTACGTGATGCCCGCAATCGCCAATTTTGCGTAGAGTTCCCTCATCTTGTCCAGTACGGGCTGCACAGGTTCATTCTCGCTCAACCGCAGCATGGACAGCTCCCGATCCAGCATGAGAGAAGCGGCAACCGATGTCGGAGCGTGCAGGTCCTTGAGCACTGCCCATGCCTTGGGCCCACAATCAATTTCCGGTAGCAGATGCATGATGTGATGCCTCTGGTTCAGCTCCAAGCTTTGTGACAGTAGATAATACCCAGCAGATTAACGTTCATCCCAGTCCGCTTGCTCTGCCATTTCCTTTGGCCTGGGCTCTGTTCCAATCATGAGCTTCAAGAGGCCAATTTGTCGAAAGTAGAGCTGCATCTTCCATGCCCAATCGTCATAGCCATCTCCAGAGAACTTCTCAATGGTGAAGTTCTTCAGCACCTCCTTAAGCAGTGACCCCTGGCTTGTATGCGCTCCCCTTTGCGCTGCAATGCCAGAATCTTGGGTTGAGCTGCCTCCTTGGACTGAAGTATCATCTCCACCAGAGTCCTCCTTATCTCCCATCTTATTTTAGGTCCAAAATGCGTGATAATGGGCTCTGATACCACTTGTTGGTTAGAGAAGGCTATAAGCAGATGATTCAATGGCTCCTTGGAAATTTCTGCAGCACTTCGTTATGACGCCCAGAAAACTCGCGACCTTTGAAAAGCTATATCCAAACTCCAATTGGTGAAACGATCTGAAAATCAGATATGTTGTAGCTTGCAGCGTCAGCTGTCCACTGAAAGTTGAATCACTCGATTCCGTAGCTTAACGAGCGAGCTATGGCGTTTGGCGCACTGGGGGGTAATCTGCCCTAAGAGAAGTTGACAATCCTCAGAGTCACTATGATTGAAGCTTACAAGTTCAGAGGCACGATAGAAAAGGCATTGAAGCACAGTTGGAAGGTAGGGATGGAAGGGAAGGATGAAAGGGAAGGACCCTGGAGGCCCATGGTCAAGAACATGACAAGAGTCAAAGTCTTGACTCCCCATCCTCAGGTTCAGCCAGCCTGGCGAGACAAAATTCACACTGTACCAGGTTGGCCTCCAAACCCCAAATGCTGCAGCTGCAGGGTGGGGACAAAAGTCCCACACATGCTGGTCCCTCCTCGTTATAGGGCTCTCCAACTTTGGTGTAGCAGCTGACAAGGACTTCCAATGAGTTGTAACAAATCCATCAAACATTTCTTCGTAACTTCTTCATATGTGCTCCGATTCCAACAATTCTTGGCTCGTTGGAATGTGCTCGATGTCATGCACAATCCAAGCACATCTGCACAAGCACAAGATGAACATGCAAAGACATGCAAACCCAACAAACCATACAAACAATGTAGCACACAAAACACATGCAACGAAATGATGCGAACAGACGACAGGATGACGTGCAAACGAATATGCACCAACAAGACCGAGTGCCTCAACCAGGTCGTTGAGCAACTCCTCCGCGCAGTCTGCAAGGACGAGATCTCCAAATGGGACTTGCACCTGCCCGCTCTAGAGTTTGCTGACAACAACGCTACATATGCCGCTACTGGACAGACGTCGTTCTTCCTCTGCTACGGACGCCACCCACTCACACCACAAAAACCGACAACATCCGCTAAAGTCCAACCTGCACATGATTTCATCACAACCATGCATCAGCTTTGGGATCGGACCCACAAGCGCCTCATCGACATTTAGCAGCAACAGAAGCGCCAGGCCGATCGCCATCGCAACGACCACACCATTACTGTGGGAGACCAGGTGCTCCTTGACACCCGCAACCTTGACATCAGCCATCTCCCATCTAAACTGCGACCTCGCTTCTGCGGGCCATTCCTCGTTGAAGCACAGGTTACTCCTGTTACCTTCCGCTTACGCCTACCAGCTACCTGGAAGATTCACAATGCCTTCCATGTCCAAGTTCTGAAGCCCTATCGGGATCCGAACACGATCTTTGTCGGACGCCAACCGTCGCCGCTGCCGCCCGTCCTCGTCCGGAATGAACCCGAGTACGAGGTCGAGTCCGTGCTTGCACACCGCCGTCGTCGGAATGGCACCGTGGAGCTACTTATCCGTTGGAAGGGTTATGATCCTTCTGAGGACATGTGGGTACCTGAGACCGACATGGGTAACGCCCATCGTCCTCTGCATTACTACCTTATCAAGCAGGGTGTTACTTCTACCACCCAGCTTTGAGGGGGGGAAGTGTGAGAGTACGACCCCGTTACACCCCTTGTCCCTTTTCCTACTTCCTTCCTATTTCATTTCTCTTTTTATCTCATCTCATTTGGTTTCCTATTCTCCATTTTCCATTATCATTTGGTTTATCCTGCTATTATAATTATATCACCGACCAGGCTTGGGATGTACTGGCGTGCTATATCTAGCGTAATCCTGCCGTAATTCCTTAAAGCCAATAGCCTCGCGTGGCTATACGCAGGGTGATTCTATTTTCTAGAAGGGTCTATTCCCTTGGGATAGGATAAACCTGGTTATCTGATGTACCCTGGAAGAATAAAAGCGCCTTGTATTCATCGATAGTGCAATATTTCCTCGACACATTCGATCTTGTGACAATCACGTTATTCGCCCATCATCATTTCAAGAAATTCGGCTGCCATGCACCATCATCAATCGACCGCTCAACGGTTTCACAGTTCATTGTCTTCCGTCGGAGTATTTACCCTTGCCCGTATGGTCACCAGAAGAATTCGACCATCTTCGACGACTGAGATTAAAAGCGATCGTTTTGACGCTTTCTGACCATCGATCGCATTTTGACCTCAAGACCAGGGCTGACGTTTCAAAAAAAGGCACTCTGATTTTGCCCCCCAAAAAAAATCGCGAGTCTGAAGGGTCAGTTTTCGAAATTTCGCTACTCTGAAATCTCAGTGTCCAAGAGTCAACGAGTCTGAAATACTCAGGGTTCAGAATGTCGACTCAAAGTCCTGCGCCCAAGTCGAAATCTTATATTTTCGGAGTTCACACCAGGCCCAACGATTGGTTTTAGGGGGTCATGATTCATCAGCTTTTCGTCAAGAAAATTTACGTGGATTCATCAGTGTTTCCTAGCAAAATTTTGCCTTTTCATTAGGGCGTGTACAAAAGAAAAAACTGATTTGGCAACTAGGAGAGAGGATTTCATTTTTTATTTTTTTTTTTAATTGCATTCGACTAAGAGTAAATTCCGCATTCTAATAACAGTCGTTCCTATTAGGCGAAATTCTCGACAGCTGCCCGTTTGGTCAACTGAAATTCTATAAAAATGTAACGGTCACGATCGATTGCGATCGTTTCGACGTTTTTTAACCATTCGATGGTCGCAAGTTATAAACGTCCACGGTCGATAAACCGGGGCACTGCAATGGCGTGAAGTTTCTCCCATCGCCCAATTCCACAGGTTCCCGCTTGCCCCTCGTTTCGATCCTCCCCCCTCCCCCTCCATTTTCGAACCCCCCCCCCCCCTCTCCCCCTTCGTTTCGCTTCCCCCTTCCCCTCCGTTTCGTTTCCACGCCTCCCCTCCGTCTCGACCCCCCCCCCCCCTCCGTTTCGTTCCCCCCTCCCTCTCCTCCCCCCCCCCCCCTCCCTTCCCCTCGGTTTTGATTCCCTTCCCCTTTCCCCCTCGAATTCGATTCCCCCTCCCCTCCTTTTCGAATTCTGTCCCTCAAGGCCTGTTCCTACACGACACAACGTCACGACACTTTGTATCAAAACTGTTATTGACGGGCAAATTTGACTCCAAAATCAGCAATAATACGAAGTTGTCAAACATGTGTATCTCCTATGTTTGCATAGACTGTATAGGGCCACATCTTAGAGGGTACAACACTTAGGTATATTCACCTGTACTCTCTCTCTACTCAATCATTCAGTTCTCATTCCAACATGGTATCACGCGTAGGTTAGGATCCCCCACCTACCGCTTCCGCCTGTACCCTAGCTAGGCCCCGCCGCTTCCCCCTGGGCTCCGTCGCGCCTCCTAGCCCCGTCGCGCCCCTCCTGGGCCCTGCCGCGCCTCCTGGCCCCAACGCGCCCCCCTAGCCCCATCGCGCCCCTCCTTGGCCCCGTCGCGCCCCCGCGTGGCCCCGTCGCGACCCCCTAGCCCCGTCGCGCCCCTCCTGGGCCCCGTCGCGCCACTAGCCCAGTCGCGCCCCTACTGGGCCCCGTCACGCCCCTCCTGGGCCCCGTCGCCCCTCCTGGCCCCGTTGCGACCCCCTAGCCCAGTCGCGCCCCTCCTGGGCCCCGTCGCGCCCCCCCTAGCCCCGTCGCGCCCCTTCTGGGCCCCGTCGCGCACCTACTGGGCCCCGTCACGCCTTTTGGCCCCGTCGCGCTCTGCCTGGCCCCGTCGCGCCCTGCCTGGCCCCGTCGCGCCCGCCTGGCCCCGTCGCGCCCTGCCTAGCCCCGTCGCGCCCTGCCTGGCCCCGTCGCGCCCCGCCTAGCCCAGTCGCTCCCGCTCGGCCCCGTCGCGCTCGCCTGGCCCCGTCGCGCCCGCTCGGCCCCGTCGACCCTGCCCGGCCCCGTCGCGCCCTCTAGGCCCCGTCTCGCCCTGCCTAGCCCCGTCGCGCCCTGCCTGGCCCCGTCGCGCCTGCCTGGCCCCGTCACACCCTGCCCAGCCCCGTAGCGCCCTGCCCGGCCCCGTCGCGCCCGCCTGGCCCCGTCGCGCCCTGCCTAGCCCCGTCGCGCCCTGCCCGGCCCCGTCGCGCTGGCCTGGCCCCGTCGCGCCCGCTCGGCCCCGTCGCGCCCTGCCCGGCCCCGTCGCGCCCTCTTGGCCCCGTCGCGCCCTGCCTAGCCCCGTCGCGCCCTACCTGGCCCCGCCGCGCCTGCCTGGCCCCGTCGCGCCCTGCCTGGCCCCGTCGCGCCTGCCTGGCCCCGCCGCGCCTACCTGGCCCCGCCGCGCCTGCCTGGCCTCGCCGCGCCTGCCTTGCGCCCGTCCCAGCCGGCCCTGCGCCCGCACTCGCGACCTTCGCCCCCGTCTGCTCGGCCCCTGCGCCCGTCCCAGCAGGCCCCGCGCCCGTCCCGTCGGCCTGGTGCCCGCTGCTTCTGGCCCGAGCTGTGTGCGGCCTGCTCGTCGTCCCTGCCCCGGCCCTGCATCCTCCCTGGTACGGTTCCCCATCCCTGCACTGCACTCCACCGTCCTGCACCGCACTGCACCGCACTGCACCGCACTGTACCACCCTACACCGCCCTGCACCGCCCTGCACCGCCCTGCATCGCACTGCACCGCGCTACACCGCACTGTACAGTCCTGCACTGCTCCTGATGGCGGCGGAGCTTCGCTTCGGCGCTGAAGGCCAGCCTCTGGAGTTCGAGGCGTGGCTCGCCGACCTCCGTCGCCACCTCACTGGCCATCAGCAAGATGGCCACCCACTTTCCGCACACCTTGACAGTACGCTCCCCTGCCCAGACCCCCCTGCTGTTCTGCCCGCTAACCCCACACCCGCTGAGCGCGAGTCTACTGCAGCCACTGCCCTTGCGC